AAGCCCTTTTGTGAAGCAGATGTGATACTACCTTAATTTAAAGAACCACTTGAGCATGATGTAAAATAAGGCCAAAGCTATCCATGTCAGGAATTGTGAGAATTGGCAGTTTTACATGAAGGACCCTTAGACAAAAGAATAAAACAAGGTAAATTTTTCTGAGACAGCGAGATGCCTAACACTTAATGGAACATTCCACACACAGCGCCCCAAACCGTGCCGACAGTGCACAAGATTTGTTCAGCGAGCATGGTTAGAGTATTTACCATGCTCTGAGCAAAGTCCATGGTAGAGGTTGCAAATCTGTGGCCGGCAGTGCATTTGTAAAGGGACTGTGATAAGATTTTTAGGAGGTTTCACATTAGTAGGCTGAATTTCTGACTTGTCTTTATAAAACAGGCCCAGTGGTTAAGTTCACGCGTTGGCCTTTCGCGGCCCGGAGATCGCAGGTTTGGATCCCAGGCACGGACCTATGCACTGCTTATCAAGCCATGCTGTGGCAGGCGTCCCACATATAAAATAGAGGAAGATGGGCACAGATGTTAGCTCAGGGCCAATCTTCCTCACACACACACAAAAAAATGCAAGAGGTTTGTCAGCCATGGTCTACATTCCCAAGTAGCAACAGTCAGTTGGAGCTGAGCAGTGGCTGCCCCCTGTACTCTGGTCTTTCACTCTATCTAGCTCAAATCCCTCATTTGTCTTACCTGTTTGGCCTCTGTGGGAGTTTTCCTTTGGGACTCCTACACTAAAGGCACAAAGAAGACGTGGTCCCTGTCCTCAGGAGATCACCAGTTAGTAGGGAAGACACACCAGTAAAGACATGTTACATCATAGTGCTAGGACAGGAGGGCACAGTGTGGATCTGGAAAGGAGAAGACTTCCCAAGAAGAGAACTCCTTAACGGAGTCTTAGAGAACTCATCTTGGGAGTTGGCCTAGAGAAGGGCCGGGATTATGGGAGGGCCTTGGGAATTCCAGGCAGAGGGAGCAGCATTTACAAAGAAGTGAATGAGTGGGCAAAGTGGTCCAATACTGGAAGTCAGGGAGTGACGACAAATGGCACCCTAGGGAGAGGTAAGAGACCTATCATGGAGGGCTTTGTCCATGTCAAATAATTTGGACCTTATCGTGAAGACAACGAGATCCACCTAACAACTTTAAGCAGGAGAGTGATATGGTCTTATTTCTATGTTAACAGAGCACTCAGGTGAGGCATGAACTAACTTCCAGTGGGCTCCCCTCTTGTGATTGAGAATTGAGCAGATTGACAGTGAAAATATAAGCTGACCTAATAATCCACCTTCAATATATTCACAGGATGTAGCTTGGAATAGTGTAAAAGCCCATGTTACTTATTATAACAGACCCTCATACTAATTGTCAGAAGCAAAAATTACACTTAGCATAGAGGTAAATCTGTGGAAGATTCAAGGTACTACGGTAAATGACAAACTTGTGCAACTTGATTTTCCTATTGCATAATCATATAAAGAAAGTATTAATGAGGACTTTCTGGGATATTTGGCCAACATTTTTTTTCATCATAAAAAGGATAAAAGATTTTTAAAAGAGGTATGTCAACAGAGGAGCTATTAGCAGGTGAGGCCAGATGGAGTTGCCTAGCACCTGGAGACGGGGTGAGGCTGGTGAACCGAGAACACTTCAAAGACTTTGAGTAAAGGGAGAGACAGTCCAAAGGACTAGATGCAGAGATGGACTCCAGTCCCCGCTAGAAAGGCAGGACTTCAGTGCATAGCATTTACCTATAATATTCTTTTTTTTTTTTATAATTTTATTTATTTATTTTTCCACCAAAGCCCCAGTGTATAGTTGTATGTCATAGCTGCACATCCTTCTAGCTGCTCTATGTGGGATGCGGCCTCAGCATGGCCAGAGAAGCGGTGCGTCGGTGCGCGCCCGGGATCCGAACCCGGGCTGCCAGCAGCAGAGCACGCGCACTTAACCGCTAAGCCACGGGGCCGGCCCTACCTATAATATTCTAATTGTACAGAATTTTTTAAATTAAGTGTTAATTACACATATAACATATACACACAATCTCCTTATTTAAAAATAAATGATCACGGGGGCGGCCCGGTGGCGCAAGTGGTTAAGTGTGCGCACTCCGCTGCGGTGGCCCGGGGTTCACCGGTTCGGATCCTGGGCGCGCACTGATGCACTGCTTGGCAAGCCATGCTGTGGTGGCGTACCATATAAAGTGGAGGAAGATGGGCACAGATGTTAGCCCAGGGCCAGTCTTCCTCAGCAAAAAAAGAGGAGGACTGGGAGATGTTAGCACAAGGCTGATCTTCCTCACAAAAAAATAAATAAATAAAAAAATAAATGATCACAGATAATACTGGAATCCCCTCTGACCACCACTCCCAAACCAGGTCCCCTGCCCCCCTCCACAGAGGGAACTACCATTGTATAGTTTTGTGTGCATTTACATATATAGAAATATACACACAAAATATTATTTTATGTTTTTAAAAATAACAAAAATGAAATCATATTATGTGTCATGTTCCATAACTTTCCTTGTCAGTACATATAATTCATTCATTAAAATGGCTGCACAGTATTCCAAAGCATAGCTGTGTTTTACTTTATTTGTTCATTTCCCTATTGAGGGACATTGTGGCTTTTAATATGTCATTATTACAAATATCGTGGCATGTACAATCTTTGTACATGCTTCCTGTGCCCATGTGGAAGTGTTTTTCTCAGTTAGATATCTACAAGCAAAATTGTAAGATCATTTTTAAACTTAAATTTTAATGGATAGCATCAAATTGGCTTCTAGAGTATTTGAGGAACTGTTTTCTCATTCCTGCCAACACATGATATTGTCAAACTCTATGATTTTTGCCAACCTGATGAGTGAAAAATTATATCTTTTTCTAATTTGCATTTCCTTGATTACTGGTTTGGTTGTGTGCCTTTTCATACTTTATTGTCCATTAGTATTTCCCTTTTAGTGCATTATCTTTATTATTGTCTGTCTTTATTATTGTATTATTGTACATATTATTATTTATTCTATAGGTGTTATTATTCTTTACCTAAACACAAGTTTAATCATTTGTCCCGCTAATCTATGGACTCCTTGAAAGCAGGAACTACTTATTTCTTGTTTATTGTTTTATCCTTTTTGGTTGTGAGATTCTGAAAAAGTTATTTAACTTCTCTAGGTCTCAGTTTCCTTGTCTGTAAAATGGGCATAACAGTAGTGCTTGCCTCATTGAGATGTTATGAAAATTAAATGAGTATATATATAAAACATTTATAACAGTGCCTGGCACATACTAAGTGCTGTATCAATGCTATCTATTATTATCATTATAACCGCAGGGTTTAAAAAAGTGCTTGGCACATAATACACAATTTAATATGGTTCGAAGTTGAATTTGGAGGTCTTAAAAACAAACTTGACACCAAATCAGGGGGTCAGGCAATAAGAAAACAAGTTAAGGACCTGGTTGCTAGAACTAGGGTATAAAGTCAGAGCTTGGTTCCAAGCAGCAGGGAAGGGTCCATCCTCTTGAATTGGATCATAAGGTAACCTCAAGTCCTGGAACCAGGCTATGAACCCAGAGCCACCAGCCAGATCTGTGCCCAACACTGGCAGAAGAAGCTAAATAACAGAATGCCAAATAAATATGAGGGCTAAATAACTCCTACCATGGGGAGAAATCAAGAAGCAGTGAGCCAGGCAAGATATTGGAGGTGGATAATAATAACTAATTGACATAGGGTTTTATTGCTCTATATAGTACACTAATTAAAAAGATCCAGCCATATCACTAAGCTGAAATCATTAAATATTTCTAAGTCCACGTCTTTAAGACAGAGAACGGAAAAATTAATTCTATCAGGAAGTTTTATAAACTAATTTTCCCCTTGGATTTTGCTAGGTTCTGAGAGATTTTTTTTTTTCATTCTTCCTTCATTCTGCTTTAATACCAAACTCAAAAGCACTGTGTGATTTTTTTCAGTTTCTTAAGTTGAAGGTATAATTTACGTACAGTAAAATACACCCTTTTCAGTGAAGTTTTGTGAGTTTCAACAAACACACAGTCATATAAGCACTGCTATAATCAAGATGAAGAACAGTTCCATCACCTCTCAAAATTTCCTCTTGTTCCTTTGTAGTCAATCCTTCCCCCAGCTCTAGCCCCTCACAACCACTGATCTTTCTTCTTTCACTATAGTTTTACTCTTTCCAAAATGTCAGGTAAATGGAATCATACGATACATAGCCCTTTGAGTCTGTCGTCTTACACTTAGCTTACATATTTGAGTTTCAACCACGTTGTCATGTGCATCAGTAGATCATTCCTTTTTTTTCTCTGCGTAGGATTCCATTGAATGGATGGATATACCACCATTTGTTTATCCTGTCACCAGCTGAAGGACATTTAAGTTGTTCCCAGTTTTTGGTGGTTATGAATAAAGCCTCTGTAAACATTCATAAATAGGTATTTGTTTGAATGTAAGTTTTCATTTCTCTTGGGTAAATACCTAAGAGTACAATTGCTGGGTCATATGACAGACATATGTTTAAGTTTATAAAAAACTGCCAAACAGTTTTCCAAAGTGGCTGTAACATTTTACGGTCCCACCAGCCATGTTTCATTTTGAACAATTCTTATAGATGGATCCCATTTTCTATGGAGTAAAATATCCAAAATTCTTTTTTTTTAATTGTGGCAACATTGGTTTATAACATTATATAAATTTCGGGTGTACATCATTATATTTCAATTTCTGTGTAGATTACATCATGTTCACCACCCAAAGACCAATTACAATCCATCACCACACACATGGACCTAATCACCCCTCAAAATTCTTCACTTACCATTCCATGTCTTCCTTTTGGCCATTGAAGAACCTGCCTCTTCCCAGCCATATGTCACTGCTCTTGTACATGTACTCCTGGGTACAGTCAGGTCAGGCCCCTAACCCCAGACCATGCCTGACACTTCCTCACATGCGTGTTTTTATTTATGGCATTCGCCATCTGGGATGTTCACCTCTTACTACTGAAATCTGATGTAAACCCCACTATTGTAACCTTTTCATTCTTCAAGACTCCCTTCTGCTCTCCAAAAAAGACAATCCAATGAAAGGCACTGAGACAGGAGACCAATAAAACAAGCAGGCACAAGGCTCCTGCTCTCTCTGCCATCCAACCCAGATTCCCACGTGCCACGTGGCGGGAGAAAGCAAAGGAAGAGTCCAGAACACTGCTTATGAGAGCAAGCAAAAACTCCACCAGAGCAGGTCTCTTTTTCCTTATTTAAAAAAGAGGTAAATACACCCAAAATAACTAGAACTTACTTCATAGGGTAAAGTGAATTCTCATTATTTGGAGTTGCTTGAGGGACAAAAGCTTTTCCATTTAAGCAACTTTGGGCCAGTTCTTGGTGCTACTCAAGACTTCTCTCTGCGTCCAAGTCTTTTACAGCTGGATATGTACACATGCACATATCGCTTTGGCAGAGAAGATGAATCGAGAAGCAAATTCTTTTATAACACAGCAAATATGCATGTCTTATCAAAGAGATAATGTACATAGGGTGGATTTTTTTTTTCCTCCCTATACAACTTGGAGTTTATCTAGATGCAGAGAGGCATCTCTCTGAGGCTCCCGAAGTACTGAAGGCAGCGCCAAATGCAACGTGTCCACTCTCGTTTCCTTTTTGGAGGCGCTGATGCAATTCCAAGGCGTGGGGCTGGGTCCGGGCTCGGTTCCTGCGCTGCAGTTTACTAGTGTTCCAGGGTGGCTGCTTCTGCAGCGCCTGGTAATCCTGGAAATCTTGCCGCCTGCAGCTCAGCAATAAGGAGCTTGCAGACACCAGCTCTGAGTGCCATTATCTGAAGGGGCCCTGCACGACAGCTGGGAGCGCTCATACTTCTCCGGCCGCCGAGGAGGACCCGGCTGACTTGATACTACTCTCCTCCACGAGACGGTCTCGGTCCTGTACCTTGGCTCCATCTCGTAACTAGGGATCTCACGATTGAAATGCAAAAGGAAAGGAAGCCGACTCTGTCCCCTTGCCAAGCGACTGTTCCCACCCTGTCAATCCCAGCCAGACCTTATATGTTCAAAAGCCGCATCCTCAGCCCCTTCCCCGTAGAACACAATGGCTCGCTTGACAAGTCCTATCCAGGATCCTCCCCGCATCCTTGTCTGCAGTCTCCTAGTTTTAAAAACACTGTTTTGGCTTATAGCA